GTGGGCAGCAGGCAGGGCCAGGCTGGAGAAACCCACTGCCTGAGGGCTCTGTCCGCGCCTGTCTGCCCCAGGACCCTCTCGCAGGTGTTGGTTGTGGCCCCCTGCCACCCCTGTGGTGCTTGGACAGGGCCTGGGGGCCGGGAGCGGAGCTGGTGGTGGGAGCCCAGTTCCAGAGCTGCGCAGGTCGCACCACGGCTTTGACAGTGAGAATGGAGCTGCTCCCGGGGGCAGAGTGTGGAGACCTGGCCCCTGGGGCTGGCCCATCGGTGGGTCTGGATGCCATGCTCCCCCTTCCCTCTCCCACAGGCTGCGATGGGGACCATGTCCCCTGGGGCTGGGGAGTAGCATCCCGCCACAGGACAGTCTGTGAGCTGGCCTGGCCCTGTGTCCCCACGTGGGGTCACCCAAAGCTCCCCAAGGGGCAGAGGGGGCTGGAGCAGTGTCTGTCCCTGTCCGCCCCGAGGGCTGGATCCCAGCTCCGTTCCCTCCTCGCATGGCTGGTCCATGGCAGCTCTGCTGGTGTCCCCACGGTGAGGAGGAACCTTCACGGATGGGCCACTCCGGCCGTCCCTCTCCAGGGACAGGAGTTGGTCACGAGTGCTCAGCATGGGGTCTGCTGTGGAGACCCCCTGCCCTGCCTGTCTGTCCTCATCCCACATCCTGCAGGAGCTGTCTGGGCTCCCTGGCCCGGGGCTGTGTCGGGCTGCCAAGGCCTGTTGGTTTTGGCCGTGCCCCGTGTAACGCAGCATTTTTTCCCAGAGCCTTTAGGAAACAGACTTGCAGTTTTTTCCCTTCCTTCCCGCGGTGTTTTGGCCTTGCTGGGGACTGGTGGGTGGCCGTGGGAGCCGGGCTCGCCCGCCGGGCACCGTGCCTGCCTGCAGCATCGCAGGTGGCAGGATGGGGCAGCGGGCAGCGGCGAACCCCTTCACCCGGGACAGCTCCCCCACAGCACATTGCTCGTGCAGCCCCAGTGGGAAGGTCCTGGTGGGACATCCGAGCTGCGGGTCCCTGTCCTGCTCCAGCAGCCCGGAGCCAGTGGGAGTGTGGGGCTGGGGGCTGCAGGCTCCATCGCTCCCACCGCAGCCCTGCCTGGCACAGCGAGGGCACCCTGGCATGGCCGTGCATCCGATGGGTCCCCTTCGGTAAGCAGAAGGGAATTAAATGCTTATTTAGGGGCAGGGACATATGGAGCAGGTGCCCCCCGGCTGCGCCCACGTCCCCCGGGGCTGAGCCCGCGTGGGTGCCGGGCGAGCAGAGGCTGCAGCGGGCGGGCGGCTGGGAAGCGGTTAACATGCAGCTTGTACAGTAAACACTTTGTCTGGGGGCTCGGCCTGGGGGGCTCTGCATTCCAGGGAAGAGGCTGGGATCGGTGGGGGCTGGGCTGAGGCTGGGCTTTCGGAGGGGTTGGATGATGGCTCCCTGCTCCATCACCAGGAAAGAGCCTCTCCGCTCGCCCAGGACCCACGACACCCATGGGATGGGACTTTCTAGGAAGCGAGGGAGCAGGTAGCCGCTCTCTTGATCCGAGACCCTCTCCTGTGGCTGCGGGTCTGGGGACCTTGTGCAGGACCCTGGTCCCTCCCTCCTGCTCCCAGCCCTGCCAGCTCCAAGCTGGCTCCCAGGGCATCCCGCTGCTCGGCCAGAGCCCTGTGATGGGGCCAGCCCTGGGAGGTTCCAGCTGCAGCTTTCCAGCACAGCCTGTGGGTGCCTGGGGGAGGTGATGGCTGAACCTGTGTGTGGCAGCACGTTTTCCCCAGCACACATGACGAGTGATTTAATACTGGGTAAATAATTATGTCTGGGAAAAACTGACCCCATGGGAGTTCCGTGCATCCCGCGTGGTTGCTGTAAGCAGTGACTGGGACGCATTCTGTTCCCTTCCCATGTGCAGTGACCCAGGAGGCACGGTGGTGGCCGAGCCCTGGCTGGATGGTGCACAGGCAGTGAGAACAGGCTGGGTTCAGCCCCCGGCAGTGTCCACCCCGCAGGCATCCATCACTGCCCCTTTCTGCCCGGTCAAGGGGACCAGGCGAGGCTGTTGCCCTGTCCCAACTGTCCCCCAGGATGGGGTCTGGCCTTCGCCCATGCTTGGGTTTCTCCGGGCCGGGCGCTGCTCCTGGCGAGGCTCTGGTCCCTATGGGCAATCATCTGCATCTGCATCCCTCAATCCCTCTCCTGCATCCCGACCTCTCCTACATCGGGCTCACATTGGGCGCCGAGCCGGGAGGCGCAGATGTGCTCGGCCGTGTTTGAGCACTGCAGGGCTCAGCAACATGTCCCCATGGGATGGGGACAGGCCAGGCTTCCCAGCTGGTGTTCCTGGCCAAGGGGCAGTAGGTGCCTGGTGCCTGCGCCCCAGCCACCCCAGTACCGCAGCTCCCTGTGCTCCGCTGGGGCCAGTGCCCGGCAGGATGAGTACAGACTTCCCCGTGCTGGTGCCTGTCAAGTTGAGAGCCCCGGCAGCCGAGAGAGCCGTCACTGTGCCACGTCCCTGCCAGGACCACCCGCAGGCGACACCAGGGGTGCCAGACGGGGAAGCAGAGGGTGCTGGGACTCACCGTGGCTCATGTGCCGTGTTGGCCACAGACACATGGATGTGTCCCCTCCGGCCCATGGGGCACATGGGGTCCTTTGCGCCTGGGCTCCCTGGGGGGAGCGGGGCTGGAGCTGCGGGGGTCCCTAACACTTATCCCTCTCCCACAGACACACACATGCTTCCAAGGCTTCGCTCTCTGCTCCAGGCTCTCCTCCCATGGGAGCCACGCGGTGGAGCCCGGAGCCCTTCACTGCTCCGTCGGGCTCAGTGCGGTGAGTCACAAGTTCGGCATGTGACCAACCTCATTTGCAGCTCCTGTTAATTGAAGGCGACGCTGAATGACTCGTTTGTGTCTCCTGTCCACGGGCGAGCAGAAGGCTGGGCAGAAACCCTCCTCCTGCTGGGACGGGGCGGCTGGTCTGCATGGCCGGCGAGGGCAGCACCCATTCCCATCCCCTTGGCACCCGCTTCCATCCCAAACCGAGCAGAGTGGCTTCTCCCAGCCCTTGGCCAAGCAGGCACCCCCCCTCCGCTCTGCCTGTCCTCCCCTGCCACTCAGAGACCTCTCTCTGCCGGCACAGCCCCAACTGTGACCGGCAGCACCAGGGTGGTGGTGGCTGGTGCATGGGCTGCCCTGCGTGGCCAAGGCTGCCAGGCGGAGCGGGACCAGGGGGAGAGGCATGAGGAGGCTTGGGGGCACCCCGCAGGCACCGGTGCTGCTGGGGCTGGCATCCAGATGGTGCTTCCCAAGGGGTCGGGGCAGAGCGGGCTGCACCGGGAGTGGCGTGGGGGGCTGGCAGGTCGGGGGCCTCCTGGCTCCACAGAAGTTGCTTTTTCCATGCCTTTGTGCATGAGTGCGAGGAGTTTCCTCATCCAGCTGGTGCAGGATTGCCAAGGGAGGTGAGAGGCTCCTTGAGCTGCCGCATGTTGCGTAGCGGGTGGGAAAGTGACCCCAAGGACTGCAGCAATCCCCGCCGTGGGGAGGGATCCTGGGGCTGGTGTGCGAGCTGGGGGACCGCAGGTCCCAGAGCTCTGTCCACAGAGCCGGGTGCCGGGTGAGAACCGCCTCACTGCCCGGAGGCACCGATGTTTCATGTGACCTTATGAAAATGTTATTGGCATCTGGTTTTATTTAAGCCAAGAGATTTGACACTCTCAAGGCGTCTGGTGGGGGGAGGAGGGGTGTTCGTCCGTGCCGGGGCTGGGGGAGGGCTTCCCCCTGGGCAGAGCGGGCAGCGGCCGGTGCCTTCTGGTCCTGCCTTTCCACGGCGCGGGAGCAGCGCGTGGAGGTGCCGGGACTTTGGCATGGTGGTCCCCACCGGTGCCAAATCTCCTGCCCGGCTCTTCCTTGCATGTCTCCCTGAGGAGGTGCAGGGGGGAGGCAGGGGAGGGAAGGAGCATCCCTGCCTGAGCCCCCCGAGCCCCCGGCTGGGCTCTGCTGCCAGTGCCTGTGTTGCGCCATGGCCCCGTGGTTGGTGTCACTGGGGCTGGTGCGCGCCAGGGCTGGCATCGCTCTGCATAGGGTCCTGGGAGACTTTGGGTTTGTGTTTCAAATTTCAAGGGCATGAGCCATTTCCTGGAAAAAATTGACAGATTAAACAAAGAGCAAATAACACGAATGAAGGAGAAGGATTTGATGGGGCTTCGCTGTGAACTTTAACCGGGCCGCTGGGAGCCGGTCCAGGAACGCTTCACTGCAGGGGAGCCTCCGTATGAGGTGCCGATGGGAGACCGTGGCCGGGATCCCGCGGGGACGTGGTGGGCAGGAGGCTGCGGCTCCGACCCTGCTGCCTGCCTGCTGCCTGCCTGCGGGAAGGGCCGGTGCTGGGCACAACCCCGGCAGCCTCTGTCCCCGATGCTGTGAGCCCCTGGGTGCTTCCACCCATGCTGCACCGTGACACCCCCCCGCCTGGTTTGGGAAGGCTTTTCCCGTTGCTGGCTGCAATATTGATTAGTACAAGCCCAACCCTGGGATAAACTCGGGCAGGGAACCCTGGCCGCTTTCCTCTTACAGCCCAAGTGGGTTGGGAGTCAAAACGCTGCTCGGGCTGTGCCTGACGTGGCCTCTGAGCACAGGTGGGACCCTGGCTCCCTGGGGAGTCCCCCCTCCGCAGAGCATTAACAGGCCCCAAACTGGAGGAACCGTCAGCTTTTTAAAAATGAAGTCGCACAGAGAGCTCGGGTCTCATGACACTTCCTCCAGCTGCCAACATCTGGGATCACAGTTTGGCTGCGCTCCTGGCGCAGGCAAGGATGCCAAGCGCCGCCTTTCGGGATTGGCCCCACAGGAGATTAACTTTCTTATTCCAGGAATTTCTTCTTTCATGTTTTTGCGGGGGCTGTGCCCCACGGCAGAGCACGGCTCCGCTCCCGGCCGCGGCGCCCGGTGTTGCCCTGGGCCTGGCGGGTGCTCAGCACTGCCCTGGTGCAGCCCCGGTGCCCACGTTCCCACAGCAGCTCCTTAGAGGCAGCTTTTTGGGGGCACCGGGGTCTTGCTGGGACTCCCTGGCTGTGCGTCCCAGGGTCACCTTCCAGCCTCGTGGGTCCAGTGCCGTGGGTGAGCACCCGGTGCCCAGTGGCACATGACTGGCACGCGGCACAGCCAGACCCTCGTGCCGCACAGCATACCCGAGCGACAGCCCGGCACTCTCTCAGCGTGCATTTGCAACCCTACAATAACAGATGCACGGCAACAAGCCCGTGAATCGTGGCTAATAAAAACTCCCAGGAGCCTTTCCCAGTGCTGCAGGGAGAGCTCAGCCCAGTGTGGTGGCAGGGGCAGGAGGGGACCCGGGGCTGGGGGTGACGCCTGTGGGGACCAGGGAGGGCAGTGCGGGGTCCGGCAGCACCGGCTGCACGTTGTGCCTGGGGGTGCAAGTTGCTCTGTGGGGGCTGGGGCACCGCGGGGGCACCGCCATCCCCGGGGCTGCCCCCTGGCACTGAGCCCTCTCCGGTCTGTGTCCTTGCAGAGAAGGAGGAGATTGACCACCCCAACAACAGCTTCAGCCCCTGCAGCATCCACGACCGCAAGTGCCTGCAGAAGCAGCAGGCGAAGCGGGTCAACAACGGCAACAAGATGCGCAACAGCGGGAGCCCGTACCACCGTGAGGAGACGCGGCCCATAGTGAGCACCGCGTGGCACCGTGGCAGGCGGCTGGCACCAGGCGCTGGGGTGGTGCTGGGCTAGGGAGGGCAGGATGGGTGCTGAGCACCCCTGGGCTGGGATCTGGCGCTGGTGGAGCCCGGGGCAGGAGGGGGGTTTGAAGCCGGTGCTTGTTGGGCAACCCCAAGGGTTGGGGTCCTGGGGCGCTGGGATGGGGGCACGTGCCAGCCCTGCTGCTGGCTCAGCCCCCCCTTCCTGCAGGCGCAGGGCTCGTGCCAGAGCGAGCTGCACCGGGCGCTGGAGAGGCTGGCCGCCTCGCAGACCCGTACGCACGAAGACCTGTACGTCATCCCCATCCCCAACTGCGACCGCAACGGCAACTTCCACCCCAAGCAGGTAGGATGGGCTCTCAGCCTTCACGGGGGGCCAGGGGGGGTGCTGCTTGCATGGAGGCATTTTGCAGAGCTGGGAGGGGGGGGACGGACAGATGGGCCGGTGCTGGGACATGGCAGGGCACCCACAGCCCCTGGCTTCAGTGGGAATCACCCTTCGGGTGTTGTGGGGCTCTTTGCAAGAGCCTCAGGGTAGGATGGGGGTGGCAAAGCCCCTGCGAGAGCTCCCGATCGCCCCAGTCAGGCAGCCCGCAGGGATGGGGCCGTGGGGGCCAGGCTGGGCGCCCCTCACCGAACCTGTCCCCTCAGTGTCACCCGGCGCTGGATGGGCAGCGAGGCAAGTGCTGGTGCGTGGACCGCAAGACGGGGGTGAAGCTGCCGGGCTTCCTGGAGCTGAAGGGGGACTTGGACTGTCACCAGCTGGCGGGCAGCATGTGAGCGCGACTGCGGCAGCCCCGCCCCATGCCACCCCCAGGGCACCCACCAGGGCTGCGTAGGAGAGGAAGAGAGGGGACATGACCGCCGAGCAGCTCCCCGGTGCGATGGGACCCTGGCATGCGCCCCAGATCGCCGCTGTGCTCTGCGCCACGGGCTGCCCACGGCACGGGGCACGGCACCGCGACCTGTGCCATGACCACTAGCTGCCACTGCTGAGGGCTCCCCGGCACGCGCCAGCGGCACCTCCATCCCGCAC